TCACACGATTCTTGGCTGCACATGGAGCTCCCCATAAGGACCCAGCCCAGCGATACAGTCCACATGTGGTACTCACAAATGTATATCGTTGGGTACTTCCCCCGGCTTGTTTTGCTTCCGTGTCGTCGTACTACGTCGCGTTTGCAAGTGTTCGAGGGAACGCACGAGAGAGAAGCGGAACTTCTGCAGCTCCTCGGTGGTCTTGGTGTTCGCACAGCCCGGATACGAGAACATCGCCATCATGGATTACAATGCTCCAGCGGTGGCAACTTCTGCGTTAACGCGCCCATATAAACTGTCCACAAATATCCGCCACCGTGCCTTCAGCACGCACTGGAACGCCCCAAGACTCATGCAGCCATGAGAAACTCAGAGTTGTAAGGCTTCTTACAGTTTAAACGGCCTGGAAAACTGGCTTCAAAAGGATTCCCAGAGATTCCTGGGGATTCCCCGGGATTGTTGGGGATTTCCAGGGATTCCCCGGGCGTGTCGCGTGCATCCTCTGGTAGCGCAGCCGGCCAAACATGGGCCCAAAAAGCATCCCAAAGAGCCGAGAAGTCCCCAGAGTGTCCCAATACGCCCAAGATGGCCTTAGCACGGCCCAAAAGGCCTCCAAGACGTCCCAAGTGCGTTCCTGGAGGCGCCCCAGATGGGCCCCAAGATGTTCGATTCATGGATGTTCCATTGGTTTCTGAAATTGTTTGGCCTTCTCGCCACAAGACGGCCCACGAGGCCCTCAAGTTCGCCCAAAGACGGCCCCAGAGGCCCTTCCTGTTCTAAGGCATGGAAGGCGCAAGTATAACGGATGAAACAATACATGCACTAAATAGTGTGAGCTCAATAGGCGGTCGCCTTTCTTTTCTAAAAAGGTCTCAGCCTATAAACTGGGCGTGGACAATGAGGGCACGGTCACGAGTTTCGGCTCGCAGCCGTTCATTTACTGGCGGCCTTCCGCAGCTGCCAACAATTAGCAGAGGTCCACGCCCACTCCTGGCAAGATGCTTCAGGAGGCGTAGACGACTAGAGTCCAGTGGACGTATGCCCCACGTACTCGTTACATGCCCTGCGCTTCTTGCGTGCTGAAGTCTGGTGCGATGCGAGCGCAAAATCTGTTGCAAGTGAGGCATGCGGCATGGCACACGTCGCACACAACAAGTTGGAGCGGAGCGGCACCACACTTCGAAGGGGGATCGCCACTAGAATCGATGAAACATACATGCAGGGCGCGACACCCAACCCGTTACAAGCCACTTGCTCGCGCCAAAGCTCGGCGCCGACAGCTGGATCAGGGAGGTCCCAGAAAAAGGGGCACACGCGAACACTGTCTAAGCCAAGCGAAATCGCCGATTGAATGATCGACCCGCGCCAAGGGCTTGACTTGGTCACGCCCCTCCTGAGCCCTCGGGTTGGCCTGGGGTCTGTCGCCCACGAGGGCGAGGAAAGCGGCAGGCATGTTTCTGACAAGCCAAGCGCCGTACCTGAGCCCCGCGCGCTGGCGGATGCAATCGATCGACGGCTGCTGCATACGACGTCGGACTTCTGCAGCCAAGTCAAAGATACCGTGGTCATGGCACGGGAAGCGTCAAGGCCGCACATCTGGTGGACCATCCGGACCAACTTGCACGGTTCCACAAGGAACCCAAGAGGTCGCGCTGACCTTCGCTGTCTTTTCGGGGTGGCAGGCCGAACACGAGATGCAAAAGGACCAACCGCGGCATTGGGGCGTTGCGCACTGGCAACGCCGCGCCCTGACGGCCATCCACGACAAGGACGTCCGCTTCGTGCTCGGCCTCTTCGATATCCCAGACGCAGTCGCGGCGGAGCTCTTCCGCGACTGCGGAGCTCCGAACACCATGCCGATAGCGGTCCTCTACCAGGCTTATGTTGCTCCCATCGTACTTAAGGACCACATCTCTGAAATAATTTGGAGCACCCAGAAAAGTGTCGAAAGAGTGTCGAAAGAGTGTCGAAATAGTGTCGACAGAGTTTCTCCCAGGGCCCGACACGTGAAAACCCTCGAGCTTGGGGGTGTCTCCCTGGTGCTCGAAACTCATTTTGGCGATCCAGGCTAGAAGTAGGTTGGAACATCATAATACCAGGCGGGAAAACACTTCCAGCGAGTGGCCGAGAACCAGTTCGTGGCACACCAGAGCTGGGTCGCGCCACCTGGAGAGTGCGAAGTCCGAGCGGCAACCCATCCAAGAGCGCGCCCGCCCCGCCTCTGCCACGCCGGCTGACGAGGACCAATACCTCCGCCGTCGCATCGGGATGGGACACGGCCCCCAACATGCCGCAGTGGCAGCACGACGCGAACCGCAATCGCGGGATACGGCATCAGTTGGCTGGGTAGTCGAAGCCAATCTGGCGCCAATCTGGCAGGCCCAATCTGGCAACTGGGGGCAATCTGGCGAGTGGGCCAACGAGAATCCAGTCTGGCGAATAACCCAAATCATCCAGTTTGGCCGGGCCAGATTGACCCTTGGGGCCCAATCCAATCTGA